TTTACTCTAAATGTTTTGGAAATGAAATGCTCATTTGTTGTTTGGAAAAATTGTTAATGGGAAAACCCTCAAATATCAGGTAAATAAGATAGAAAACTCTTAGGAATTCTAGTAATATTTGAATTTTGGGAGTTTTTTTTTTTTTTCTGACAAGTACATTTGGCATAAAATGTTAAGCACCTGATTCAAAATTCAGAAAAAGTTAAATGTTGCTCAAATCTCTGTATATGCCTGTGACATCGGAATGTTCCCTTAAAGCCTGTAAAACATTATGGGCAGAATCCCATAAGGGACCTGACTGAATCCAGTGGGACCTGACTTATCGAAGATTCAAGCTCTTGTCCAAGCCAGAAACCTGATTCCAAGTAATTAATCTGTATGCAACCACCCGAAAAGCTATTTTTGAAGTAAAACATAGTAAGAAAATACTAGAATGTGTTAAGTACCAAAAAGAAAATCTTAATGCATGTACTTTTTATCTCATCTCTTCTCTAGAAGAAATTCATTTCAATAAAGGAAAGTTTTGTTTGAGAAAGGGCCATGAGACTATGAAATAATACAATATAATTTGGCTTGATTTTTAAATTTATAAGAAATCCTTTGGAATTATACTATTACATTTTAAGAAACACTATTACAAGGTAAATATAATCTTAAGCAAAAGATACACTCTAAAATCATCTAAATTATTTCAGATTTTGTTTTCCTGATTCTAATATATGTAAAAACCTGTACACACAATGGGAGTATACACCTGTACACTATACAACACTATACACCTGTACATACCTGTACACTATAGACACTAAAACTCTTCTCACATTTTTGTTCTGAAATATGTTCATGTTGTCAAACAGAGCACTGACAAGGATACTGGGCAGCAATTTATTTTTGGAAGTTATAAAATGCCAAATAAACTGCTGCAGTAACATATCCAGGGGATTTTCACCACCACCCTAGGAGAAAAAAATATAGAATATGTGCAATCATTATGCTTATGCTGCTGATGAAGAAAACAGTCATTTATTTACAAGCTAACTAAACTGGCAGGGCAGGAAGGAATAGCCTAATGCAAGCACAGAAAAAAAAGCTCTTGGAGTTAGAGACTTCTGGCTTTTTTTCTCTGTATTCCACCTACACTGTTAACACAAAATATTTACCATTTGGAAACAATATTTCATTCCAAAATCAGTGTTTCATTTTAAAATGAAAAATAATTAACTTTTTAAGAGATTGAACAGTCACAAGCACATTAAAATTTAGCATGGAATGCTTATGAAGGAAAATGACATATGCATCACACATGAAATCATTCAAGTTACTATTTACTTGTAGTTTCATAGATTTGGTTCTTTGTCCCTCCACTACTCTCAACACAATTAGGCAATGAAAGTGGAAATAATATGATTCCTCTATAGTGATTGGTTACATTCCATCTGCTTATATGTTTATATATTTGGGCATATGCAAAAGTTAACAGTGATTCTGGAAATTGAGTGAATGGTAAAGCCTATTTGTTTTAGCAGCCTAAAGCTGAAAAGCTAAAGCTCTCTTCTTTGAATTTCAGTAGTATTTTGCAGTATTATATAATTAGATACTTTGTGTCAGCACTCTATGTGTATGTTTGGGACAAATGACAGCCATTAGAAAAATCCCTGAATGCCGAATCCGAAGACAAAAATATCATCAGTAAGTTGGAAGTGATAAATTTTTTTGAGGATTGCTCAATTATGTAGAATAAAAAAAATGTAATTACACTGTAATTTTGAAGCACATTTAAATGGAGGGTAAAGACTGTAAATTTCTATATAATCAAATGGTAATTATGTTCTTATATTTGCCTTCTAAGGGAAGGAATCATCAAAGACTGAAGCTGGTAATTAAACTGACTCATTTGCTTTCATCAAATTTGTAAAAAATGCATCATAAATCATGTAGAAACATGAGATTTGGGTATACAGTGTGTTATACTGGTTACATATATGTATGTGATACTCTTTTGGTATGCTGGATCCAAGTTGTCAAGCCCATCCATTTCAGTGACACTGAAGATCTCTGTCACATTTATACCAGTAACTAAATTATCCCATCCCAAAACAGTCATGACACCTACTCACCTTGTTATTCTTCTCCCTCTAAAGAAGTAAGTTTCTGTCAAAACTCTTTTGTACAGATCAATGTGATGGGCTCAATTTGGTTTATTTCACATTTCCACTCCTTATGTTGAATTTTTATGTCTTGTTATGCAGGTCCTCCGTGATCTTCCTCCTTGCGAGTTAGTACAACATACTCGGTGGAAATTTTTGCAACATAAAACAACAATGTGGAGATGGAATTAAAGGAGCTGGAGCGTTTGATTTTTTTATTTTCTTATGGGAATAAAAAAATTCTAGACAGTAAACACAAAAGGAGAATGGCTAATTAGGTGGCACAAAGGTCTATAAATTATATGTTTAGCAACCTAAAACAAAGGTTACAAAGTATATGTAAAGTATAGAGGCAGCTAACCAGCAGAGAACACACACGCTATTTGTCTTTTACATTAATCTAAATTCTCAAAGAACCATGTTTGCTTGAGATATCAAGACATAAACTTCAAACCACTGTGGATTTTTTAATTTTTATTTTAAGAAATATTCTCTCCCAGCCTATTCTTACCATTTTCTTCTTAAAATACAATAATATGCTTAAAGTCTACACATTGCAGTGAATGTACAGTCAAGCACATACTAAGGACAAAAATCACTTCTGAGAACAGCACAAATCCCTATGGGTGAAAAATATCTGGTAGAGGGCAAGTTCCCCCACAGGTTTTGTATTGACCTGAACAGCAGTGAATATTATTCTCTTTAAATTCTTTATTCCCAAGTTATTTATATATATATAAAAAGACTCTTTAGAAATAGCTATTGACGAAATTCACAAAAAGAAAAAAAAAAAAAAAAAAACAACTCATAGAATACATTAGCCTACTCTCAACATTCAGAAACCTGTGCTTACTACTTGTCAAGAGTGATAGCACGGAAATCAAAAGATGCTGAGTTGCGTTAATAAATTATTACAAAGTTAAGATAGTATATTCGATACACGAGTTTCCATCAAGAACCAATGAGTCTAAATATGACATATTATTACTGAAGTGTTCAAATAACATCGTAAGATAAAAACATAAGATAAAATATATTAAGGCAGCTAGTACATATTCCTGGAACAGGAACTCTTTTTAAAATATCCAGGATTCCAAAATCCTAAAAACACACAAAAATTTGTTTTTCTGAAAAGATATTCTCCACGTCAACTATGTGTCAATCAGCAGACCTACCACTTTGGTCATTTTAAAAAATGGATAAGTTACTAGACATGTAAAGTAAGAAAAACAGACATTACCAAAGTCCAACATAGTTCGAAATATAGGAAACATAAACAATGTATCTGAAATTACTTTATATCATCTAGGCACTGTCTTTCATTTACTCTGTAGGCTTTTAATTCCAGAATCTTCTTGAGCTTTGCTGGAGTTAAGCTTTGTTTAGGAGATATCACTTCTTCTTCTAATTAATTTAATTAGATTTTAGAAAAAGTTTTCAAAAGTGAAGATTGATCTGCAAAATATGAACATGGCAACCTTCAGTGTGCAATCCAGAAATTAATCATGCTCCCCTACTAGCAGTCTCTAGTTTGGAATTAGAAATCTTACTCAGTTACTGAGGAGGCTTATGCACCTCAACTTGAGACTTTCAGAAACTAACTGGAGAAGGATTTGAGCATAACTACAACCTCCTAGGGTGGCATCATTTGGCTTAATCACACTTTTATAAAATTCTCCTCTTTTGTATTTCTTTCATTTTCCATTACCCAGTATTTAGTTAGTAATATAAACTGGATCAGTGTTAGCAGGAAAAATGTGGCATAATATACTGAAGCTCTCACCAAAAAAGCATGAAAAATAGGTTCCTATCCCTGCTCCAAGTGAGTACAAAACAGGCTTTTGCAGTCTACCTTTTATATAAAAACCTTAACTACCTGACCATTGGGAAAGAGCATCCAGGCAGAGCCAAAACCGCCTCGTTCCTGCCCGTCTCTTGCATTGTGCTTGATTTAGTAGTCAGGGTTGGAGGAGGTCTAAGAGACAGGATCCTACTGTTGGGATAGGCACGAGAACGAACACCTTGGTGAAGATGCCCCTGGGGCTTAGGTGTGACCTAGGGATTTGGGCAGCTCGCAGAAGCAGGCTGTGGGTGGTTCTGACATGCTTGCTGGCAGACACAATGTGGACTTAAGCATCACTGAGGCAGCTAGATGACAGCAGATGAGTGGGGCTGTTAGGGACCTTAGTAGTGACTAGGTGCTCGTGAAAGAGGGGAGAAACTAAAAATCCACGCATGCAAAGCCATTTTTTAAATAGGATTAGGTGTTTTTGAATGTGCTCTCCTGATAAAACTAAGTTTAAATATATAGCATAAAAGCATTGCCTTTTTTTGTCCTGTAGTATCACGAAAACTAATTTTAAATAGATTACATACTTGATTATACACACCTTCCCGCAGCTTCATGCCAGGGAAACTCCAGTTGAATAAAGCTAATGTAACAGAGCAGAAAAATCAAGCTCTCTGTCTGGTTTGAGCTATTCTCTAATTCACATTCCTAAAATGTCCACAGATGTAGGGGACCCAAAGATTAGGGGATATCAAATCCAGACTTTCGGTCTAAGCTGGTCAGAATGCTACTATTTCACCAAGTATCTATATTACAAGTTCTAAACACTGCTCTGATTTAGCAGAGCTAACAATCTTGCACCTACTAGCAGTTAACCCATGAGGCTACCCACGCATTTAAGAGCGAGTATAATTTTAAGCACATATATAGACACTGTTTACATTGCTAGTTTGGTGCCACGTTAAAGGCCTGAACTCTGAAGACAGTAAGGTTTACTAATGCTTATAAATATCCTCCAAAAGATAAACCAAAATATGATTTTTTTTTATAAACGTGTGAATGTGTTCAACTATGTTGATAACAGAACCATGTCCCCTGAAGTTATTTCAGAGTCCTGGCTGTGGGTAGAGCTGATTCCAGTGTCAGAGTCTGTATCATTTATGTCCAAATTAGTCACTCTGTGAACAAAGTCAGGAACTGCAATGCTGGGGCTTCCAGTGCCCTTAGATGGCTCTTCACTGGGTGGAAGGCTGGCTTCCACATTGTCTTTAACATGCAATAAATTAAATTCTTCTGCAAGAAGTTCGTATTCTTTTTCCTTTTTTTGAAGCAATGAGTCCCTGTATGTAAGCTCTTTCTGAATGCAGCTCAAGTATGAATTGATCCTCAGACCATCCTTCATACTTTTTTCCAGCTCACATTTTACACTTTCCAAATCTGAGTTTTCTAGTTCAGCATTAGTAGCTCCTTCTGTGTGTGTGTCATCTGCATTTTTTTCTGTGCATATACCAAGTACTTCTTTTTCAATTTCAGAACAAAGCTTTTCTATTAATTGTTTGTGATGTTTCAATCTCTCTTCAACCTGTAATATTCCCTCACTTTTGTTCAAATATTCATGCATATCTTTTTGATCATCTGGTCTACTCATTTGCTGCTCAGCTTCCTTTGGATTGACCAGTAAATAAGAGTCCTGCACATAATTTTCTCCATCATTGGCTACGCGATCAAGATGGAATTTTGCTTCACATTTTTCAATTTCCATATCTAGTTCCTTCATTCTAAGGACTTGCTGATGAATTGTATGATCTTGAGAAATGATCAGATGAATCAATGTCTCCATATTATCTCTCTCTTGCTGAACACTGTCCTGTTTAAGTTTGGCCAGTTTCCGGAAAGTCTTCCTGACAATTTTCTTTTGCTTGTCTATTGGCAACATCTTCATGTAATTTGCTGGGCTGAGCTCCCACTGCTTTTCCACATTTTGTACTACCTTAGCTTCTGCTGTCTTCCACAGTGGAAGTGAGAGAAAAGCATCAGACTTTACCAACACAAAGTGCAAATTAGGCTGCTCTTCTCCCCAGGCCTTCCAAAGCCGCAGAATCTTTGTCAAAGGTGGAAGGACTCGCTCCGAACCTCTCCATTTTTCTATAATGCAGTAATCACTGGGTTTTCCAAAAAGGACCTTTTTCTCTCCAAATGTAGCCTGGTGTTCCTCTAGCAGTGCTTGAATCACCTCTGCACAAGTTGTACGCTTTGTCAGGCCACATACAATCTTCTCCTCCTGGCAAACCCAAACCACAATCTCTCTTTCATTTGAAGCCATGTCCTTGCTGGAAGATCTGAGAAAACAGACAATACAAAACATAACTTATACATTTCAATGGCATAAACTACAATTACATGAATAAAAACTGTAATGATAAATTGAGATGACTTCCCATATTACTGTACTTTTTTTTTTTTTTTTAAATATACCAATACCTTTGGAATAAGCAAAGAAAAACACACCCATGTCAACGGCTCCTCTAATATTATTAGTAGTTCAGATCAATGGGAATTTCATATAAAAGATCTTTTATCCCTTTTTCGATATATTTATCAAACGTGTTAATGATACATGACATAAATTTGGCAATCTACATTAAATGTCCAGACTCCACTGGACTCAGATCTGCATATCAATTCTCACCATACGAACACTACATAAACATTGATAGGCTGTTAATATCACTCAGGCTTCTAAAGGGAATAATCATGTTTCTTAATGCACACTGAACATATGTGGACTTTGAATGAATGTATCATTCACACAAATGTTTCAAAATCTAACATAGGAATGCCATAAAGTTCTAAAAAGTTAAAATAATACATATTTTTAAATTTATGAATTCCAGGGAATATGGCATTAATCTGATATTACTAGCTAGTACCAATTTAGAGATTAAGATACCTAAATTCAGGCACCAAGGATTCCATTATACTTACTGTAACTCTTTAATCAACAAGTAATCACTGGAACCTGGAAAGTCATACATGTGACCAAAGCAGTTGTTCACATTAGAGTAAACTGTTAACTTTGTCCCCATCTGTCCAACCTAGACTTGCAAAGAATTACATCCAATGACATAAGACCACTCTGCCAATGCATGAGATGTGATTGAAAGTAATGGGATTTGTACTGAGTATTTGTTGCCTGCCTAGATCTGGGGATTTGGCATCTTGCCTAGAATGATAAAACAATTAATTCCTGAGAAAATTATATTATTCTGCATTTTCTGGCATCACTTTCGGTTCACTTGAATAGATGAGACAGTCCCACAGGGAGAGCCTGAAAATGATAATGACAATTTGGACAATATCCTAAGGGCTTAATACCACGTGTTCTTATCTGGCACTACTTAGTCACAGTAGTTTTCTAGTCATTTGAGATGTAGTAGGAATGGACTAGACCTAATTAGGGTTATACCCTGTGATTATTAAAGCAGGCCAACTTGCTTCTTTTTCTTAATTATTAAACAACTTGAAAGACAAGTGCAATCCAATAAATTGAAATATGATTGGGGCTATGAATATCACTCTGATGGGAGGCAAGGATACTCAAGAGACAGGAGATTGCAACTGAATAGTAATCAAATCTACAATAGTGATTTTTATTAGTATAGAGAAAATAAATTTAGTAGTACAGGAGAACTCTGTCCAGCAGCATTGTTTCACCTCTTGTAACATTCCTATTTAAAAATTTGAATTTTGTTAAATTGAGTTATGAGATCATTTTCTCATTTCAATATTTCCTCTTATAGTCCAGCATTTTACTGTAGTTATCATTTTTAATTGGTGTTCAGAAGACTAATAAATACTTCCTAGACTATTAAGAATATTTTTATATATAGGTATATAACAGATAGCAAAGAGATAGCAAAGAAGCATATTTTGAAAGTAAAAAATGGGAGGGAGAGGGGAATAGAAGACAATACCGTAATAAATGATACTGTTAAATATATCATACGCTAAAAATTCATGGGTTTACAGAATACAGGGTGCTACAGAAAACTTTTTATCTGTTGACAGACAGGTAGTTATATGAAACTTGCATAAGTAGATAACTGCAACATAGGTCACTGCATAGATCACTTGCGACAGTCAAATACCTCTCTCCATTTCTCACTGTGGATATAAAAAGAAAAAAAAATCCAGCTGAACTACAGTGTTACCATAGATGCTAAGGATAAAAAGATGCAAAATGAATTTTCAAAAATGTAGTGTCTTAGTGTTAACTATAACCAGAAATAAAACTATTACCAGTCAATGGATTTCAACTCAGAAACGTGCACATAGAAGGATAAAAATAACAACCATTTTCTATCCGCTTATCATCCACTGTTATTTTCTTCAGGCAAAATGCATCTGACTACCTCACTTTACACTGAGCTCTTTTGGGGAGGATTTTTTCTTTATCTTGTTTTTACCGTATTTAATACATTCAAGTCCATAACTAGCAGCCGAACTACAGGAATGGATAAAATATGCATGTGCCAATACACAAAAAGCTCAAACAACTTTAATAGACATATATTTTTATACATGCATGTATATTTATATATACACATATACAACATTTAACTTATAATTGTACTGCAACCTTTTACAGAAAATAAAAAAGGAAATTCTGAATTTTGTTATAAATTTTAAATCAAAGGAGAACTATGAAGTGCAATTTTTCTTTCATTATTTTCCTCTTTGTTGTTACATTTTTGCTCTTGCTTTTTAACTTAAGAGGAATTAATATGGCATTTATAATCTCACAAACCCACAGAATTCTAATATCTTAAATAATTCTTTATTATATTCAACTACAAAATGCTAAACTAATATGACATTCCAGAGTCTTTCTAAGTAAAATTTATTGTATAATTTGAAAATTATAGCTAATCCTGATAATGCCAAACAAAAAAGAAGCTTCTGTCAGGCACACCATAACAATTATTGAACACTTGCTTTCAGGATGAAAAGGATGCTAATAGTACAAGCCATCTTTCATTATGCTATTCTTTCTCACAGAAGGTACACAAGATTCTGAATATACCAGGTGAAATTTATCTCACTTGCCCATCTGGAAGTTAAGATTTAAGTATAAAATTATCATCAGAGTTTCTTAGTGTCATGAGAGAAGTCTTCCAAGGCCAAAGCCTAACCATCCTAAATCATCTATATTTGGGATTTATTCTCAAATGAAATTTCTGCCTTGCAATGACCGTAAGAGACCTATCTAACCTTATTTTCCAGTAAGTAAATACAGATAAGAATAATTCAATCAGAATCTGGCTTAGTATCTTGGAGAAATATAAAAAGAACAGTTTAAATAGCAGTAGACTTACTAAAGATAACAAAACATGAGTTCTGTGTATTATAACTTCATGGTTTAGTAGATATTAACCTAAAAAATACCATTCACTGCTGGATTTCCTACTTACATATAAAAGGAAACCTATAAAGTAATTTCAATATTAATGAATTTATAATCCAGTGTGTCACTCCTCATCTGGAGCATAAGTTAGCTTTAGCCACATTTTTTGGAGACAGATGCAGTATTAAAATCATAACATTCAACAGTAAGCTCTGCTTTTGGAAAGTCATTTTAATAAAAAGGTGAGCTTCTCATATTTAGTAATTCCTTGGCCTTCACATCCATCAGCTTAACAGAAAACAAAAGAATTGTCATATTTGAGTAACATACCAACTGAGTCTGTAACGGTTAAGATGTTTTTCCTGTTTACATTCCTAGCTTTCTTCAAAGACAGTTTCAAGAGCAGCTTCTTCACTACTATCTAGGCAACTTCATTTTTTCAGTGGTATATTGCTGTTTCTGTAGTCATCCTCAAAAGCTTACAGTTTGAATTCTGTTTCTTTGAATAGATGACTGAAAAGATCTCTTTCGCTCCCTCTCTACAGCTATCCATTTATGATTTAAAAGCCTTGATAAGAATGACAATGTGCAAATAAACTTTTTCTTGTAAAGTTATTTGTTGCTTAGGAACAGGTAAGATTTTAACGTTAGGAATGGTCAAAAGTGCAAATTAAAAGTACAGAAAGTATATTTCCTTATTAAAAAAAAAAAAAACCCCTTCTACTTTACTTCTACTTTCATCCTTCTATACTTTGCTTCTCTTGTTACCCAAAAGAAAATCTAACCAAGTTACAGACCTCACACAAAGCCTTGACTGTGTCAGCACAAGGTGATTTTCCAGTGTTAGATATATACTA